CCTTGACCTGAGTGGTTAAACCTTGGTCGATTCCCAAAATGGAACCGACGTGCGAAACCAATTCTTGGTGTCTGGCGTAGCGAGATGGGAATATTTTTATTGCCGACACATTACCAACTATTGCTACATCAACCATGTGTTCATTCTCTCTTCTTCTGGTGCCCTCTAATGTTAGGAATTGGTTAAAATCTCATAATTGATGATTGGTTCATTACAACCGATCAATCATCGAAAATAATTGGTTAGCATCATGCATTCAATTTCCCTGGTTATGTTTGTTAATGCACAAAAAATATTAAGAAAACATGTAGTTCTTTCGGGGTTTTTTGGTGCAAATTTCAAAAAATGCATTTGCAAATTTCCCATCTGTAAAGGATGACTAGTCTGTTAAGGAGATAAATTTCCAGGAGTCTTTAAGATAAGTTCAAGCATGACTGGAACAAGCTTGTAGCGTTTATGAAATGTAACAGACACAACCAACCTTGTAAAAAATATTGTTAATGCAAACAAGTGACCCAATATTGTTTGTGTTCGATTATGCGAAAACATGATCGATTGCTTGGTCGTTTAGTCACTGCGACCAATCTTCGATTATTGCAATTAATCGGACCACCACCAGTGTCCTCCGCCGTGATATTGCTGGAATATTTCTAAAAGCGGCGTAAAACTAAACTCTTGCTCTCTTCCATTAAAGTGTATTCTGTTCGGGGTTGTTTTTGGGTACAAATTCTAACATCCTCTGTTAAGATGGACATTCATTTTTAGGTTCATAGGCGTATCCATGTCCTGAAAGTCTTTGAAATGACCATTGAAATTCTCGTGAAAATGAAGTCCCCCCCCCACACACACACACACCTTCTCAAAAGCTGTAATTCCTCTTCACCCCCCCCTGACCCCCCTGAAGTTAGTGTCACACATGATAACGAGATATTTGCCGACTGTCCCTTTGTTTGCCTTGAGAGTGAATGAGTTTTAGCTTTTAGCAGTATTCCAGCAATACCACGGCGGGGGACACCAGAAATGAGCTTCTCACATTGTACTTATGTGAGGAATCGAACCCGGGTCTTCGGCGTGGCGAGCGAAAGCTTTAACCACTTGGCTACCCCCACCGCCCCACAGTTCGTTTCAGAATAATGACAATCGTGTTATATTCAACCTGATATCAAAAGTACGAACAGGGGCAACAGTTTTGTCATTGGATCCACCTTTGACGGTCCCGGTGTTTTCCCGCTCGCCTTCAAATTTCTTCTTGTCCGGATTTTAGTATGCGAGAAGGGCAAGTAACTCTAACCGCACTTCGATTCACATGAAAATAATCTGTGACCGGAAGAAGTGTTAAACTTCCGAACGAAACATATTTCAGTTCCTAAGTTTCCTAAGTCCATTTGCAACAACCATGTGAAACACAAACTACCCTCTAATGGTCCCACGACTTCAGAATACTTCTTTAGTGGTTTTTTGTTTGTTGTTGATTCTTGTTTCTTAGTTTTTGTATTTTGGGGTCGAGTGTGTTATTTCATTTTTATAAAACCCTGACTAATGTGGATTATAGAAAGCAAGCATAAGTCCAGATTTAAGAGTGAGAAAAATTATGCATTGAGCAACGTTTGTTATAATTCGATTCATGAATGACCAAGGACTTTAAAGTCATTACATACTCAACCTGTGCCAAGGACCCAAGAGTCATTTTCTATCTAAGGTTACGGATTCTATTCTTTTTCATCAGCTCTTGCAAAAATATGTTATTGTGTAGAATTCTGTCACATTTCCTGTCATACCAGATTAGAAGTTTGTTAATGCCACTCATCAATGTTCCTGCCATATGATGTATGTAAATAATCAAGACTGGACCAGACAATCCACTGATTGACATGAGCAGCAACCCATTAAATTAGGACATGACATGCATGAATCAAATCAGCAGCCTGAACCTGCCTCTTAAACAAGCATGTTGCTGAGGGTCTTCACAATGTGTTAAGCCCATTTCACCCCCGGTCAGGGGGCGTAAAATCCAACTAGAATTAAACTGAAAAGCCGTAATCCAAGTTTAATTCTAACCCTGACCCGCGAAGATCTTCAGTAACATGCTTGTTGTAAGAGGGGGCATCAGAAGCCTTAACCCAAGTGGGCGGTGGGGTAGCCTGGTGGATAAAACGTTCACTCGTCATACTGAAAACCCGGGTTCTGTTCCCCCACTGGGTAAAATGTGTGAAGCCCATTTCTGGTGTCCCCCACCATGATATTGCTAGAACATTGCTAAAAACGGTTTAACTATATAAACTCAATCACTCGTTCAACCCTAGTACAGATAAGGAAAACTGACAAATTTGTACATGTCTGCAGAGACCTGTTCTAGCCCCAGGCTTGCATCAAATTCGGATACTGCTGGATGATCACAACTGGTTCCACAGATGTCGATACAGGGCTCATACAGATGATCAGCCATCAAATTTAAGGTCTGTTTTAGGGGCTTTTCAAGGCCCAATGAACAATTTTAATTTTAGGACCTCACATAACACGTCAGTAGCTGAATACACTCAAGGTTGGTGAAATGTGGGACCGACCTTCAGAGAAAAAACTCTTAGCTTCATCGCTGCACAAGTTTTGCTTCGTGATGGAGAGAAATTTAACATCCACTGTCACTGCAAATAAGTTTATTATGTACTTTAGTTTCCTTTAAAAACGTTACTTGGCAAGTTGTGGTTAACATAGCTTCTTTTTAGGACAAGTCACTGGCAATTAGGGCCTTTTCAAGACTAAACAAATTGAAGGTATTTTGGGGAGAAATGGCAGGCTTTTTCAAGCCAGTGTGTGAAATCCAGGTTAGAATTGGTCTTCAGCAACCCATGATAGTCGTAAGAGGTGACAAACGGGATCGACCTCGCAGACTTAACTGACATGTCTTTGTATTCTATTTGCATAGATCGATGTTCATGCTGTTGATCTCTGTACTGCCTGGTCCAGACTTTGTTATTTACAGACCACCGCCAGCTGGAATATTTCCGAGTTAAACAACCAAATCAAATCGAATCAAGTGAGGGAGGGAGTGAGTTTAGTTTTACGCCGCACTCAGCAATATTCCAGCTATATGGCGGCGGTCTGTAAATACTCGAGTCTGGACCAGACAATCCAGTCATCAACAGCATGAGCATCGATCTGCGCAATTGGGAACCGATGACATGTGTGAACCAAGTCAGCGAGCCTGACCACCCGATCCCGTTATAGTCCGTCAACTGAACTTCTGGCACCGTGCCTTTCACAATTTACCTTTTAACCAAAAATGACTTCAAAATGTTTTTAGGCATACGCTCTTTATATCTTATGACCTATCTAAGGTTTAAATTTCATTATTTTATGTCAATTATTAAAGCTTCTTCTTAAGAAGCCATCTTTAAAAAAATATGAAAAATAGAAGTAGTTATACAAGGGAGTAAAATGATACGACGATAGCAAACAACATGGTGGGACACACGTGCATCTTGTTTACATTGTTACGCCTGCAAGCAAATCTATAGGGACTATATAATCATCACAAATCCATTTTAAACAAGCAGATTTATTGAAGTCTTTCAATACTGGTTGCTGAATCTCTTGTATCAAGATCCAAATTTGAGCAACAGCTTGCACATGGTATGCTTTGATACATTGATGTCATGGTCTTCTTTTGAACAATATTTTCTTCAGTTTGCTTGACGATATGGACTCACTGGATCGATTTAACCGACGCATGACGTCCCTCACAACCCTTCTATCGAATTCATCAAGCTATCTTTTCTTTGCATGTTTTGAGACGGTCCCCGATTTAACTGCCATGTCATCGTCAGTCTCTGAAATAGTGTCATGGGAGATAACTCTTTGCTACGTTCTTTTGCAGATCTTGGTGGTATTAATGTCTTTTGGAGAAACACTCAATTGAAAAAAGAGGGATTTCTTTCACTTTGCCTTGCGCTTGAAAAAGTTGTAAACTCTTTTGATGATTTACCGGTCATCTTTGTACAACATCGTTTTTACCACAACCTGTGTGTTGACGATCTTTGACATCACTTGAGCGTGCTAATGTAAATACCCGTGCATGTACATATCACGCTGACACACATTTTACAACGTTGTTGGCGTTTCCATCACGTGCGTTAACCCCTCGTAAAACTCTCCACAGTTTTACAATTATTATATGACAGGTTTAAAGGCAAAATCTTTAATAGTCGTTTTAGAATTACTAAAATCGATATCTTGTTAGGTCACAGTATACAATTACCATATGAACAGAGTAGCGTTTTAAAATATTCAGGAGTTTTATGTAAATTGTGAAAAACAGGGTGCCAAAAGTTAAGTTGACGGAGCATAGTCGCCGTTTGAGGCAACCATGGGTTGCTGAAGACCTATTCTACCCCGGATCTTCACTGCAGGGCTCCAGATAACTTTTGGGGGTGCGAGTGTACTTACACATCATATTGCAAGTGGAGGTGTACTGAGAATTTTGAAGGAGTACTGACATGTTTTTGTGTGAGCGAGTTGGTGATGTGGTTTGTCTGGACGATTCATCGATCACTATTTCCAACCATGTATTTGTATTTGAAGACGCGTGAGAAATAACTGAGCGACCGTGTGATGCGCGAAATGTCAGGTCAGACTGGATATAAATAGGAAGTGTTTTTAGCCAATCGAAAAATAGTGACGCATATCGTTGCATGGCAACGCAAGGGATTCCTACTGTCGGGGTTTCCTCATGTGTCGAATCGTGTTTCGCAAAAGAAACGTGACAAGTATTTATCCGAAATAGATTTCCATTTGCACGATACGCACGGAAATTAAATGTTAGACGTACAAAGGTATTTATGTGCGTACACGATACGCTTGAAATCTTATATTATGTCGTACTTAATTGATTTTGAGGCGTACATTACACCTGTACGCCCCTTATCTGTAGTCCTGTTCACGGGTCGAATCAAGCCAGTGTGAACCCTGGGGTAACTTATCCACAAACTGTGACAAACACGGGGTTTATTCTATAAAAATTTATTGCAGCAACAAAGAATAACAAGTCTGCCTTAATGTTCAGCTATGTTCCTGTGACTTGTATCGTCTCGATACAAACAACTCGCCACCATATGAATCCCACTTCTCTCAACAGCTCAGGTAGATGCTGTTGATGCTATATGTCTGACCGACTGAGTTTAGTTTTACGCCGCTTTTAGCAATATTCCAGCAATATCACGGCGGGGACTCCAGAAATGGGCTTCACACATTGTGCCCATGTGGGGAATCGAACCCAGGTCTTTGGCGTGACGAGCCAACGCTTTAACCACTAGGCTACCCCACCGCCCCTAAGAGCTGTATGTAACAAGACAACCATTACAATTTGCAAAATGGGATGTCTGCATGAAAATAAAGATCGATGAAACATGATGAAATGACATGATTACGTAATCTGCACAGGAACATGACCACATTTTCGTAAGATTTCCCACGGATCTATTCATCATAATGCCCTCCTTAGCAAAAATTGATAATTTTTAGATCATTTTCTCTTAAGTGTTAGCCTTGGTCTTAATTTCAAAGAAACGTGGGAAGATCATCTAATGTCGAAATATCAATGATCGCACTGTGAATACATGTAAATGTTTAAACTACCTGTTACACTTTTAGGAAATAAATCGCTGTGAACTAATTACAGATAAAAGAGAATGAATGTACAATTTAAACATTTACAAGTAGACATAAGCCTCCAGGTGACAAGAAATTTACACTAATTACACTGCCAGTTTTGATTCTTACAATTAAGGTCACAACCTTTTAATACAAATCTGACAGCATTTACAAAATGCTGCCCAAAATTATCTGGTTTAGCAGTAGTCGTACAAATGAAAAATGAAGAAATTATAACTCAACCACTGAGCATAACCAGGGCTCAACAAGGAATCGGTAGGCAGGAAATGAGAATCTAGCCGCTATATTAACCCGAGAGCAAGTATGAATGGACGATCGATTTGATAGCCACAAAAGGGCCCTTTCACACAAATTCCTTCAGTCTGCTGGCTTGTGATAGTATATGGTGATATCCGGTCTTCGGGCATCAATGAGTAATGTCTATATACAGTGAAGTTTTCACAGACCGCTGGGGTGGGGACTTGGAAGAGTTCCGAACGACTTCAGACTCAAAGCTGCTCCGAGACATTGGGGTTTTTTCAACGTGATTACATGTTAATAATACACTATCAAACTTCAGATCTGTCCTGACCTTTTCATTAAGTGATTCAAAAAGCAGATTTCAATGAATAAAAATTTCTTCATTCTACTAGAGTTGAATGGGAAACGTGCAACAGTGTCGTCTTTAAGACTTCTCTGAGTAGCACTTGGTGTAAGGATTTCCATTACGTTCAATATGAGCTTTAGACAAAGACCAAGGGTGTACCCAGCGTGTATTGTCTGCAACAACCGCCTGCCCGGCTAAAGTTCAAAGTTCAACACACAGCCGGTCACTTCAGGTGACCACACACACACATCTTCTACGCCTCCTCTTCCTCCTCTTCGTGTTTTCGTTTCTGACCGCGAACTTGTTGATCTTCTTCTTCTTCCTCATCATCATCATCATCTGCAATAAACAGATGTATAACACATTATGACTGCCTGGTATAACAAATATACCACAAACCTCTCAAACAAGACATGCAAATATATTATGTTTTCAAGGAACACTAGGCCAGAACAATTTTATTTCTTGTTTTACAGATTTTTGTCCTCAGAAAACCAAAAGGCAGGAGGGAAAAAAATAAAAAAATAAAAATCACTAGTCAAAATAATTTTTCTTTAAAATACTTAAAGTATTATATGAAGTTTATATGGGGGCAAAAATCAATCCAAAAATATTTTTGGGGTAAATTTACATGTTTGGCCAATAAAAACATGAGGATTTATTTTTTGAGCAGGGAAAATTATTTTTTTCTTATTCTTGAATATATACGACCGGTGGATAAGTAAAACAAGAGATAAAACTGGCCTGGCCTTAGGTAAAAATAAAAAGTTTTGTTATTCAATGTCTTAATTAACCTAAAATCTAAAATAAATTCACAGAAATGATCTTTACTTCGAAATGTATTGATAAAATGGAATGATGAACACACAATGACATTTAGGTGGTCAAATGTAACATGCTATATTTGGGAGTACACTTTCTCAAAGTAGATTCTGGTACTTTTGGTTTTACGTTGCTTTAGCAAAATATCACGACAGGGCACACTAGACATGGGTTTCACACACTGTACCCAGTGTTCACGAATGGTGTTTCAAAGTAACAAAACATTGGGTCCTGTAAGTTTCAGATGTCTGTCTGACCCATTGAAAATTCACAGGACCCATAGAATAAAATTAAATAAACATTTCAGATTTAACATTTCTCATAATTGGCATTGAAATTATTAACAAACATAAGATTTATAAACAGCAAACAAGTGTCACTTGTCACATATAACAACTTCAGTCAAAGTCATCGTGAAATATACAGCCAGACACTGGGGCTGGCGGGATGTAGACTTCTATCAGACCTTTGGCGAATCTGCCGGATTTGTCAGAGGGTCAGACGCTATTCGTGAACACTGTGTACCTATGTGGGAAATTGAACTGGGTCTACTGTGTGACAAGCAAACACTAGCAGGGGTGGAAATAACTTTAAATTGCTAGTGGACTCCGGTACAGTGGCAAATGTAAAATCACCTGCCCTGATAATTTTTCCACTATACCGTCCGTTTTCTTGTTGATTTTTTAAATAAACAACATAATTAACATTGGAAAGTCAACTGGACACTGGTACGGTGTGATATACAAATTTGCTTGCCCGACATAAAAAACACTGGACTCGGACAATGGGTTATTTCCACGCCTGACTAGCATGAGGGAAATCACAATCCTTCTTTCACAGTTATCTCCCCTACTACATGGGAGCTAACCCAACTTCTTACATGTTGGTTTTGTTTGTTTTCAGATGGCAAGTCAGATAAGTACAGGAATCATATAGATCATAGCCCAGTACTCTTAATTTCATCACACTTGCTGCAAGGCATAAAGTTGACTGAATGTTACTGTCGTGCAGTGTTCACGAATGGTGTTTCAAAGTAACAGGACATTGGGTTCTGTAAGTTTCAGATGTCTGTCTGACCCATTGAAAATTCACAGGACCCATAGAATAAAATTAGACACACATTTCAGATTTAACATTTCTGATTTGTCAGAGGGTCAGGCACTATTCGTGAACACTGGTGATGTGCAGGCTTTGTCCCCAGAGCTACAGATAACTTTTGGGTCATTGAGTTATGTACTCACTTGTGTTCATCTCAATTGGGTATCCCATTTTTTCTTTGAGTAACCAAATAAATTGTACTCACCTCACTCAAACTCAATTGGGTATTTTGCCATTTTTCATTAAATTTGAAAATATAGTGAAGTTTAAAAGTTAATGTTTGTTATTTATGTTTGATCTGTAATATGAGAAACGATAAGAAAGACTGCAAGTTGTCAAGTTCATGTCCTGAAATAGAACCTCTCAGTATACTTCAGTTATTTTATCTATCCACCAGTACGCAAGCTAAGACATGACATTTTTGTGTGTACGCATGTAAATCACATTTATTGAGCATTTACAAAAATTCAAGCGTACTTGTACGCAATAGACTGAATAGAAATTGAGTTTTCACATAAATATTTGCGTAATTTACGCAGATACGCAGCTTATCTGTACCTCTGTTTGTCCCCCTTCCAACAGTATGTTAGCATTCTGTATCAGTCCAAATCACGGACGTTTAAGTGAGTGAATGAGTTTAGTTTTACGAGGCACTCAGCAATATTCCAGCCATATGGCTGTTGTCTGTAAATAATCGAATCTGGATCATACAATCCAGTGATCAACAGTATGAGCATCAATCTACCCAAATGGCTCAGAAGTTTGAAACAAGATAAGATTTATTCAAGATTTGATGTATTACAAAAGAATATTTGACTGGAAATTCAGGACCTCTCAAACTGATGAAATGAAGGTTGCGCCATCTGGCACAGATTTCTCAAATTTAAAACTTAGTTTGACAATTTGAAACAGATGAGTTCGTAACTCAGTCGCAAATCTAAAACCAAAACTACAAAACAAATCATGTAACCTATCTACCTAACTCAAATTGTCTTCTAAGTTGGAGTTATATATCCATTTCAGTGTATTCTGGGAAATGCATTTTCCTCCATTTTCTCACATTTGAGTAAAAACTAACTTTTTAAGTCAAAACCCACAGACTTAAGTTTGTTTCGAGAAATCCCTGTATTGCAGAATATCATTTATATTATCCAGGGTAAATATAAGATGGCAAGTCAGATAAGTACAGGAATCATGTTGATCATAGCCCAGTACTCTTAATTTCATCATACTTGCTCACTAACTTCTGGTCTTATTACAAGAGTGATCCCAGATGCAACAGTTGGAACTGCTCTTTCCGTAGACAGGATTGAATTTAATTGAGCAACTAAGTCAGCACAACTGACACTGAAGAAGACTTCTGTTGAAAATCTGAAGGTTGAATTACGACTGCCTTGTTTCAGGGTTATTCAGGTCTATGGTAGAGTTCCAACCCTGAATCTAAGGAAAACGGAAGCCTGAGCACCAAAGGTGTGAGTTGGGGGTGAGTACGTGGTCGGCTCTGCCATTTTGTTTCACTTAGTAGTCATACGGACTATGTCATGCATTCAGGAAAACTTTGTGAAACTTCATCGTCAATACACGCAATATACACAATCGACACCCAAAGGATCACACGCTAAGATTCTGAATGCTTTTACCAGTATTCACTCAAATAAATCACCAGTAACTTATGAAATTGTATACCGTAAAAACAAATTCAGAATTTTTCATTTAAAAAAATCTGGTTTTTTTAAAAGAGAAATCGGTGAGCAGATTTTTGTATTTCAAAATTGGAGTGGTTTGCATCTCTGCTATGGAGAAACAAATTTGGTTTCAAAGGAATTAACTACATACTGTACATTTGAGGATTGTATGAAAACACATGTTCCAAATTCCCGGAGAAAATGTTACTTGAATGCTTGTTTGAATTAAACATTTTACCATGGTCCAGTCATTGGGCCAGTCCATGGGCTGGAAACCAAAACATACTTGTTGTGCTACGGTTGGTCTAATTAATGTTGTCTGACAACGCTGCACATCCAACCACTCAGCTTACCATCATCATCGTCATCCTCATCTACTTCTACTCCTTCCTCAACAACTTCATCATCTTCATCACCCTCAGCGTCGAATTCGTCGTCTTCATCATCTTCATCCTGTAACAAAGAAGGTTTCCACAATATGAAACAGTGGTCAAATATTCGAGGTTAAATCTAAATGGCTCGCAAAATGTAAAATTACTTTAAAAATTGGGATGTGATGAAAAGCACACATACTTCCCCGGTTTTACGCAGTACAATCAATATCTACAAGCAATCATACACCCTGTACCATTTCACAGAATACAATTTTCAGAATAAAGCATGCAGGTCAATTTGACTTCAGCAGTTTTCATAACATTAATGTCTCCAGATTCAAGTATTACAAGATTAAATGGTGTTTGAAATAAGTAAGGAGGCGGTTGAGCCAAGGGCTCCTTGTCATTGACATTTTGTTTGAAGATTCAAGGAGTATTGAAAAGTATTCTTTAATTATTATTAATGCCACGCTCTGCAATATTCCAGCTATATGGCAGCAGTATGTAAATAACTGAATCTGGACAAACATCATGAGCATCAATTTACGTAACTGGGATACGGTGACAAGTGTCAACCAAGTCAGCGAGCCTGAAAACCTGATCCTGTTAGTCACGTCATACAAGAAGCTTGGGTTGCTAAAGACATATTATAACCCGGATCTTCACAGGATTTTGAAAAGTATTAAAGTTATATGACTAAAGATAAATTTTGACGACTGCTAGATTCAATACTTGAAACCCTTATCAGCTCAAACACTAGAATACCTCCCCACACCTAAGTAACAGTTATGGCCCCTGTGTTTTATTCTTCTTGGCATGTCCAACCGTTGGCAAGTCAGATAAGTACAGGAATCATGTTGATCATAGCCCAGTACTCTTACTTTCATCATGTTTGCCTCCGACACATTACAGACTTTACTAACATCAGGATCAGAAATTGTAGCATCAATTACGATGTGCCATAGCACCACCTACTCAGGGCTGTTACAAGTCACTCGTGTATTCGGCGGATCAAATTGTACGCTTACAAGATTTCAATTTGTTACTTGTGATATCAAATAGTCATGATTTTTTTTCTTAAACAGAAGTGTTTTTACTTCAATTTGGGGGTTACTGACCAAAGCAAGATATGCAAAATGGAAAATATCTAAGCCAGGCAGGACAAGTTAACACTCGTATGTATACTACCTATCAAATGTTTAGCCTCACTGGTGTGACTGTTGCCACTTACTTCACTCAACTGCTCTGAACTAGATTTTGCCAAATCTTCCATACTGTTTAATGGTACTGTTTACACATGAACTGATGTATTGTAAAAGTAACGTTGAAAAGATTATTTTCATGAGTTCAATAAATCATGAAACTCAGTGAAAATTGGCGAATTCTTGACAAAATTTCACATCAAAACACACCTGTACATATGCACGATATTTGCACATGCTTTTCAGCAATTTGATGCATGATCCTCGTGCAATTCATCTGCATAAAGATTGCACTTGGTTCCCCCCATGTTAGTGGAGAAATTCATCTTCAATGTAACCATATATATCTACATGTGTTACCCAATACATGTATTTGTATTACCCAAAATTAATGTATCATATGCCTCAAAAATGGATTCAGTGCAGTCCTACACCCACTAAATGACAAAAATGAGGTTCCATAAGTATGATACTTGTCTTTTCTTGTTTCACATGATCTACTCAGATTTCAAAACCTTTCCTCTTTTACACAAATCAAGTCATAAGAAAACATTACAAAGCACAAGGTCATTCACACAACAATATCTACAATGCCTCTATAAGCTATTAAAAACCTAAATGCTTGACTGCATCCACACAACAGAACTGATACACCCTCTTTCTACATTGAAGGTTATTTTCATCCTACTTAAAAGATGAGCAATTATAAATTCCAAAGAAGTTTGCATTTGCAACCTTCCATATAAAAACAAGCATCCTCCCAAAGCAGTGGTGATATTCAGTCTCAAATACGGTGTTACCTTGTGCATAGTGACCACTATTGTTTTTTAAAATGCAACAGCGTGGAGATGGGCTACCTTTAAACATGAGTTTTGATATTATTCCACAGCTGGGACAAAATAGCTGACTCATAACAGTAATGAATCGGATGTATGGCAAGTTAGTCCTTATACTTTGCTATCTGATTTTAAAAAGTCAAAATATATATCTGGTGTTTGAAAAACTTTCAATTTCAAATAAAAATTGATTCACAAAACGATAAATATCAAAGAGTTCTGATTGTACGAGATAATCCTAAAAGATGTGGATGCACACACTTGGTAACAAGGGGAGGTAACCACTGGTTTGGGAGGGCCAGCTATGAATGCAGTCCTGCAACTACGTTAGGCAGTGATAGAAATTAACGCTTGCCCCGAACCCTGAGGCGTGTAGAATTTTGTCAAGGGCAAATTAAAACCATGCCACTGGTTGCCCGGTGGGCAACAAGGGTATGTATCATTATCATCACTTATTATAAAGATATGTCAGAACACCGACAATTTTATCACCCTTCCAAATTCTTGAAAATGTATGTATTAATATCAAAATGTTGATATTGTACAATAAAGGTGGTCATCCATAAAGATTGCCATTTTTATTACCCACAACTTCAGAAATGCCTCACCATTGTCATTTACGATATATGATGTGCATTTAAATGTTTTTTTCCTCATCGTAGGCTTTTGTATTGCTAGTACTACACTTGGGTAATACAGCAGAGTTTTTTTAAAGCATGAGCTTGTTTTTTTTACTGGGACAGTAGAAAACAGCTTGGGCCAGGAAGTTTTATGTCTACTGAAAATAAGGTTAATTTCTATCACTGGTTAGGTGATGCTAGATATGGTCTAGGAGATTGATCACACTAACGTCAAGGTTCTCCTTGGTCAAGTAATCTAGACCAACCTCTTCCACACCATCCTCATCCTCTCCCTCATCATCGTCATCATCATCATCTGCAACAAGCCATAGCATTGTTAGTTAGGACAAAGTTTGTACAGATTATCACTCATCAAATTTAAGGTCTTCAAGGGATTCTCAAGGAGAACGAGATAATTTTAAGTTTTACGTCACATCGGCACTGTTTTAGCCATATAGCGACAAGCAATTTTATGGAACCATAGAAACATGCATATTACATAAGTAGTTAAATACCCAAAGGTTGATCAAATGTGGGACCGACCAAGAGAGTGAGTGAGTTCAGTTTTAAGCCGCACTCAGCAATATTCCAGCTATATGGCGGCGGTCTGTAAATAATCGAGTCTGGACCAGACAATCCGGTCATCAACAGCATGAGCATCGATCTGCGCAATTGGAAACCGATGACATGTGTCAACCAAGTCAGCGAGCCTGACCACCCGATCCCGTTAGTCACCTTTTACGACAAGCATTGGTTGCTGAAGACCTACTCTACCCCGGATCTTCACGGGTCCACTAACCAAAAGAGAGACTGACTGACTGAGTTTGGTTTTACGCCGCTTTTAGCAATATTCCAGCAACATCACGGCAGGGGACACCAGAAATGGGCTTCACACATTGTACCCATGTGGGGATTCGAACCCGGGTCTTCGCGTGACGAGCCAACGCTTTAACCATTAGGCTACCCCACCGCCCCCAAAAGAGAGAAGTAACTCCTAGCTAAATCGCTGTCTGGGAACATTTTGCTTCGCGATGGACATTAATTAACACCCACTGTCAAGGTATTTTCAAAATTCCTTGCAATGACAATATCGGGAAATTTCTACCAACCCATGAGACAGGCTAGTGTTCAGTTCTTGTCAGAACTTGCAATGGGGAATGCACTAGACTGCAGTGCTTACTGGATTGAAAATCAAATAAAGAGTATTCAGATAAGTAGCTGAAGTTAGGGCACTTGGATATATTCAAACTTTCATCAATAAAATTCAAGCAAATATTAAATTACCAGGACCCATGTGATTGTTAACAAAAATTAAAAAATAACAAGTTTACAAACTGTTACCATGGTCACCAGATCTTACCATCATCATCCTCGTCTTCATCTACGTCACCATCATCAACTGGAATGGCAAAAAAGACATGAAATTGAGATTCATGAATCCCTCACACAGACACAGATCGTTGGTCAGAAATTTATCAATCATTATCCTGATTACAGACTATATTTATGTAAACCGAGGGAGACAAATAACGGAACACATGAAATTAGGGTGTTTCTATAAAATATTTTTTGGTAATTCTTTGACAGCTGTCTATTGCAATGTGGATGAAATGCTGTAATAAGCACAGGAGTGAGTGAGCGAGTTGGGTTTTACGCCGCTTTTAGCAATATTCCAGCAATAAGATGGTGGAGGACACCAGAAATGGGCTTCACACATTGTACCCATGTGGGGAATCGAACCGGGACTTCGGCGTGACGAGCAAAAGCTTTAAACCACAAGGATACCCCGGGTTATGAGGGTTGACAGTTTAATTTCACTTGTGATGAAAAACGGTCTACAAGAAAATGTCTGTAGTCACTCCAACTGAGCAAACTTTTGTTAACATGTTAACCCCGATCTTCACAGGGCTCTGGCAAAAGTAATCAACACAACAATTTCGTTATTTATGAGATGCCCACTCACTATCGTCGTCTTCCTCTTCAGCTTCATTGTCTTCCCGATCAAACCCGTCCAGATATGTGATTTGTTCCAGAATTTCAAAGACTTTCACTCTGTACTCTTCATGATTTGTTACTTCGCAATTGAAAAGATCCAAACTTTTCAAATTTTTTAAACTTTTCTGCAACAGAAAATAGACAACATACAAACAAGCCTTCACAACAAGAACAAATGGATTCCATTTATTTGGAGCTCATCAACAATGAAATGTTGTGTAACATTAAGTTTCGCATTTAATATAGTTATGTTCCTATATATAACCTTCCAGTTTTACGTTCACTGACTTCAAAGCTAATATCATTAATTGTACAGTTATTATGTCCTTGAAATTATCAAAATGAACAGAACATGTTTACAGTGATGAACAGTAACTCCACCACCACCTCGTACATATCAACCTTGAACTTGCTGCTGCACTCACCAAGGCTTCCAAATCGGAAAAATCTTTGATTTTGTTTCCGCTTAAACTAAGCTGTGACAGCTTTGCGCAACCTTTAAGTTTTTCTAATCCTCCTGATATTCTGTTGTCACTCAGTTCGAGCTGCAACACAAAAAACAATAAATAAGCGAAAGAATCTGATGAACAAAATTCACTGTAACAATAAAAGCTGTAAATAAAATCTGCAGTGAAATCATCGAATCTGGATCAGACAATCCAATGAACAGCATGAGCATTGATCTACATAGTCGGGATACAATGACATGTATCAACCAAGTCAGCGAGTCTGACCACTCGATCCTGATAGTCACCTCTTACGACAAGCATGAAGATCAGTTCTCAGAGCTCGATTTAGTGCTTTGTTACTTGCACTGGTGCAACCCGATATTACAAAGTGCAACCTAGTTATTAGTCTAACTTGCACCAGGCGCAAGTCAATATTTGAGTGGGTAAACCTCTGAATAAAACATCGAAATAATTCAATAGCATATTTCTGATATTACATATTGCAATAAAAACAGTGCAACTGGAATTTGACGGGTGCAACTAGGTATTTATCTTAGGTTGCACCTGGTGCAAGTAGGTTAACATCTCTTAAATTGAGCCATGGTTCTAACCTGGATCTTTACGGGTTCATAACACTGAGGACCAATACTATTCCTATACATGTGTGATCACTAGGGCTGTAACGAATACACTATGTTGCGAATATGATACGTATCACGAATATTAGGTAATGAATACGAATAATTATTCATGAATACAATATTGTAGTTAAATGATTGATGCACAATATTGAATGCCAATGTTGACAGTGTTAATTTGTCTCAGCAATAACCAGTCATCTCATGACACTCAAATTTTGTATGTAATAGTTATAGTTGACAGTAACATGTCCACCCTTGGCAAACTAACATGACTTGCGCGCTACTACAAGGATAGTACATATTGCATTCTTGCATATCTCGTTTTGTAAAAGGACATAGGGTTCAAGTAAAACACACTCCCTTATAAAAATTGTAAATATTCATGAATATTCGGTTCTTATGACCACGAATAACGAATTGAATTCATGAAGGGCTACGGTTCGATTCACCGAATATGCGAGTGAATCATTACAGCCTTAGTGATCACAGTTTAATGTTTTACCTTTCTTAGGCAAGGCAGCTCCGGGAATTGTTCTAGGGAACTAATGTTCGAGTTGATCATGCTGAGTGACTCTAAGGCTGTGAAGTTGGACGTCAACACCTCGAGTTCATCGTCACAATTTATTCTGCAGTTGTCGAGATTCAGCTCCATCACCTGAAACAATTGTTGTCATATTAGTACTGAATAGTGTTGGGATGGTTAAAATCTCATAATTGATGATTGGTTCATTACAACCGATCAATCATCGAAAATAATTGGTTAGCGTCATTTATTAAATTTTGTTAATGCACATAAAAATAAGGAAAAAACATGTAGTTCTTTTGGCAAAATTTCACATCTTTAAAGGATGACTAGTATGTATGTTAGGAACATAAATTTCTTGGAGCCTTTAAGATAAATTCAATCATGACTTGAAGCGAGCTTGTAGTGCTTACAAAATGTAACAGACAAAACCAACCATGTGAAAAATATTGTTAATGAAAACAAGTGTTCCAAAATTGGTTGTGTTCGATTATGAGAAATTATGATCGATTGCTTGGTCGTTTAGTCACTACGACCAATCTTCGATTATTTCAACTAATCGGACCACCACTAGTACTGAAGCACAAAGTTAATGAACGCCATTGTGGCCTCTTACGATGAGATCCAATGCATGTTTGATAAAAAACACATGAGGATGAATGCAAGAGCATCTTGAGAAAATAGTCCCGATCTTGTGGCTTTAACTTCAGTCGATATCAAAATAATGAAAAATCATTTTAAAATGTTCCATGTCCACATAAATTAATGTTGACTATTACTACATGATCTGGGAGCGGTGGGGTAGTCTAGTGGTTAAAACGTTGGCTCGTCACGCCGAAACCCGGGTTCAAATACCCACATGGGTACAATGAGTGAAGCCCAGTTCTGGTGTCCCCCGCCGTGATATTGCTAAAAGCGGCGTAAAACCAAACTCAGTCAGTCCGTACTACATGATCTCATTGAAACAAACAAAACTGTACTTAATAAATGTTACTGAAGTCTCAAAGTAATATTTGCCAACTTCTTACAGTAATTGCTGGAAAACCACCTACAGTACTTTCAAGGACTGAAATAACAACTGGCATGTTATGGCTTTAAATGCAAACAACGGAATTGTTTTTCTTCAGGAACTTACAGATTAATATCAGTTACCAAATTTTAATTTGTCAGTTGTCTAAAAATCGGACATTTACGAATGAGCATTCAAGCAATAGTTATGGGGAGTATTCTGAAACAGTAACCAAACATGACCTGATAAAACTTTGCACTAAACTGCGAAGAAATATTGTAACCATTGTCTTAGTGTGCACTGCAACAATGACTACGTAATTACGATTGTGCTACATGTTTTTGAAATAATTGCAGAATTACTCGTCTTGGGATTGCACCGTTGACATAAATTATGCACACACTGGGCGTTTATCACGTGATAGCGAAGTCACGTGACAGGACTTGCCATGTTGCAAGGCAGAAATCTCATAAAACGGCGTTTCTGTTGAAAATTATCATCGAGTGTCATACCATTTTTAATAAAGAACCAGAAACACAATCGTGACACGTAAATGTGAGTGGCTGGATCCCGGAACGGGAGTAAATAAAAGTCTGTCAACGAAACTTTCATTCAAGCGCCAGATTGACAGAAGTTTGAAGCACCTCGTGAAAAGCGATCGAATGGCTTGAGGTTCCAAACAATGGAAATGGTGCTTTAATGATGACATCACGAAGGGAAATGACGATGGAAATAAGGACAGTGCCTAACAAATTTCAACAATCGTGACACTATTGAACTGGGCAGTGAATGGCACAAGCCACCTTCGACAAGCCTGCGCGTGGCTAGGTCTATTATCTAGGTCATCGAACGCACTGCGCTATTAACTAACGGGACAAGATTTAGTGTCTTGTCGGACATGAAAACAACCACATAGTAACAAATCAGTCCTAAACAGTGAAATCTAGTTGTTTGGCTGCCTTTATTTAGCTAATAACGCCCGTTTTCATTTGTACAATTCAACATGGCGGCATCACGCCTTTTCCGCCAAGCTCACAGCGAGGGAATGACGATAGCGAACAAGACTGATCTCCCTTGCAACGAGCCCGGCACGGCGCTCTGCTGGGCCGATCGAGTCTCAGTGTTGATGGAATATACACGGGGTGGCAGAAAACAAACACCGATGTCTAGATGCTTTTTAATTAGAAATAGTGTGTGATCATGCTTCCAAAATGGCAGCAAGTCAAAGTCACGCAAGACTGCAAAGCAGAACTTGATAAACAGACAATATTATCATGTAGCCAACCTACAGAAAACATTATGAATGTTTTGTTTACAATTTCAAAGTAGAAAATAAAGCCGGGCCACAACCAAATCTTGCTATAAAATATACCCCCCCTGGATATTTTCGAGTTGAACATAACGGGGAACCCATTTCTTTGGCTTGCTTCTAAAGCTGTTGAACAAAACTTCGTCTACACCGAACGACCACGTCCTAAGCCTACCTGCGTCAACAATATCAAAACACAAACACTCTTCACAAAAGTATCTAGTTATTCTTAAAAACCCTTTAGCAGCACTGTGAAGTTTGTTCTACTCAGAAAACCGGACTGGCTGTCGAGGAGCTACAACACTGCATTCACATTGAGAAATGGCGCCATATTTGAGCTTTCATGAGTGACAACGAAATCTTCTAGCTACACTACATTACGAATAGCGAGGTCCCTAGATCGCTCAAAAGGAATCTGGACATCGGATTTCAGACTGGATAGCATTTGAATTATGCCCATAATCCAGGTTTTCAATAAATTTAAGCAGATTTACAGGACTGGGAAATCTAGCACGCACGAAGAAATGGAGACCACATGCTCTCAGTTTGAGAAAGACACCGACGATACCGCGGCTAGGCTTTACCACGCTAGACGGTAGACAATGGAGTACAATAAATGTCAGTACTACCTGATCGGGCTTCTTTCCCCGCATCTCCAACTCGAGCCTCTTGTCAATTTTCATGTTTGTGTGTAGAATCTCAGTAATGGTGGAAACAACGATATGCTGCCTCCTTGCTGAAGAGACTGTAGACAAATGGCTTCAATGCGCGCGATCAGCTCAATGGTAGACAGGGGGCCTTTTTATTGGCTGCCGGCAAAGCCTCGTACACGTGAAAGAATATGAATATTCATTAACCGGCCTTCAAAATGACCAATCACTGCACAGTATGGCTCTGACGTCATATATTTGCCGAACTTTGGGACAAACTGGAGTAGAAAATTTACGCTAAACGCCCGATAGCTTTTGATAGTATTGCAGTGAAAATTTCGCAAACGCTAATGTAATCAATACGGATGTCAAAGGAGGTAACACAATATTTACAACTAAAGCGATGACACTATGCAACATTAGTTCAATAAATTTTATGCTCATGACAGTTAAAATATTACGCCTTTCCGTGGAGACTTTGAAAAGTTAAAAAGTAACACCCTTTCCAATCTGTTGAATTCATGTGAAAACCGATATCGAACATGGTTACCGGTAGGTATTTGTGGCGGATTGATTTTGTTTGCTTGTTGTTTTGTTTGGTTTTGGTTTTCTTTATTCTGCTTTTGTTTGGTTGTCTTCATCGGGAGTAAATTAACAAAGAAACATAACAACTATAATAATTCTGAAAGTTAATTCATCCTAAAGTCCGCCATACTACCATGTTCAGTGATAAACACTGTTTCTTTAAACGGTGGCGGTCGACTGTTTATGGAAAAGACATTAAACTGAATGTACGTCTCCCAATCTCATAAAATGAGTGTGAAATTAATGGATAGTGATTAAGGGGTGATGAAATGGAATTCAACATCGCGTGAACGTATATATCGACATGCATGCATGTACATGGCTGCTTGTACAAATCCGGACTGTGTCGGCTTAACAGTGTTACCCTACTAAGATACCACATGATGTAACATGAGTGAGTGAGTTTAGTTTTACGCCGCTTTTAGACATATTCCAGCTATATCACGGCGGGGGACACCAGGAATTGGCTTCTGACATTGTACCCATGTCGAGAATTGAACCCGGGTCTTCGGCGTGACGAGCGAACGCTTTCACCACTAGGCTACCCCAACGCACCTCACCAGATATGGGCTTCAGACATTTTACCCATGTCGGGAATCGAACCCGGGTCTTCGGCGTGACGAACGAACGCTTTAACCACTAGGCTACCCCCCACCGCCCCGGTTTAACATGAATATCCCACTCAAACACATAATACTTCAGCAGACCCTGAGTGAGTGAGTGAGTTTAGTTTTACGCCGCACTCAGTAATATTCCAGCTTCATGGCGGCGGTCTGTAAATAATCGAGTCTGGACCAGACAATCCAGTCATCAACAGCATGAGCATCGATCTGCGCAATTGGGAGCCGATGACATGTGTCAACCAAGTCAGAGAGTCTGACCACCCGATCCCGTTAGTCGCCTCTTACGGCAATCATAGTCGCCTTTTGTGGCAAGCATGGGTTGCTGAAGACCCATTCTACCCCGGATCTTCACGGGTCCAGACCCTGAGCAAGCCATTCCTTATATTAACCCGCAGGGCGATGGGGTAGCCTAGTGGTTAAAGCGTTGGCTCGTCACGCCGAAGACCCGGGTTCGAATCCCCACATGGGTACAATGTGTGAAGCCCATTTCTGGTGTCCCCCGCCGTGATGTTGCTGGAATATTGCTAAAAGCGGCGTAAATCCGAAACTTAGTCAGTCAGTCAGTCTTAACCCGCAATGCCGAGCGCCAATCAGTGAGTGGAAGTGAGTGAAAGCTTTTTTACGCCGCATCATCAGTTTGGCAGCTATTTGCGGCCCCGAGCGCCAGACAAGAAATCAACCAACATGAGGGTACTGGTCGTTTTCTTTCCCTCCCGAGCGCCAGGCAAGAAAACAACAAGTCCCTTTTTCTTTCCATGCCCTTTTGGTTTGACTAGGCCGGGGATCGAACTACAAACCTTCGGCTCTACGGGCAAACACTCTATCATCTTTGTCTCACCGGTCCGTGATGATAGAATTCGCGATATGGAGGTTAGGTGAGTGAGTGAGTTGTGTTTTACGCCGCTTTTAGCAATATTCCAGCAATATCACGGCGGGGGACACGAGAAATGGGCTTC